CGTTTTACACAAAAAAGTCAAGTAATGACTGCAGTGGAGACCATATCGAAAATCAGATTTACTTAAGAATTGACCTTGAGTTCATTGGGGTATGAACCTTCGCAGAGTGAGGGCCTAAAGGTTCATACAATTCAAGCCATTTCATATAATTTTTTATATCACTATTTGTTTACCTCGAAAGATGTAGGTCTAGATCTATACACAGTTTTATATATTATGTGTGACTTCATGTTTAAACTGACAGCCACACAACAACAAGCTGTATCACGGAATAAGATAGTATGAGATAGGTGTGTTAAGAACTACCTCAGTAAGTCACTCAGAATGACAGTGTGTCATAATACTTGTACATCCAAGTACAAGATGTCAAAATGGCTGACACGATAAACATGACGGGAGAGATTTCTGAAGTTGTTAATGAACCTGTGGCAGTAACATGTGTTAGTCATCATTGATCAATTGGCCAATCATAGAAAGGTGATTATAAAGATACCGTATTTTCTTGAGTATAGTGTGCACCCATGTATAATGCGCACCCCCCTCTAGCGGGTTCAATATTTTGGAAAAAAAAGAAATTTGAATATTATGCGCAGAAATTTTTTACACCGTACCCTTTGAGCGAAGTCCGGCAAACGAACGGGTGCTGAGAAACTTCGTCAGTACAAATTCGAAATTTGAGATAAAAAATCACCAGACATGTTTATTTACCGTTTAAATAGTATTTATTGTTCTGCTAGGCATTGTTTTATATTTAGGGATTAAGATTACCTTGCGTATTTTCTCGTAAACTAAGCTGGAAACATCAATCAGCTGTACACACGTTTTCTTGGAATCGACCGGTGATTCGGTTAAGACACACCCAATGATATAACTTTATAAGATTTTTAATTCAAGGATCGGCGACAATTGTATCTGAAACTATTTTATTTATCAGGAATAATATATTCCATTATTTTCTTAATTATATGCAACCTTTACTAAACATATTTAAAATAATAATAACCCTAAGCGAAGCAGCTGATCGCTATTCCCAGGTATTATTTTTTACATGGAACATGTCTGACCAGTCACCGTCAAGGCTCACGCGCACGTGATCACGTGATCGCGTGAATTTCATGTTGACATAGAATCGTCAAACAAAAACAAATATGACTTTTAACGAGTCAAAGTATGTCATTTATGATATATGTATCGATTCTCTGTCAACTAAAGTTTGTTTCAAGGCGTCAATAGCGGTATTCTGACCGTGGTTGCTGTTAATAACGGTGAGTTGTGCGATCTTCCGATCGCTTCACACACGATTTCGCCGAAATTAATAAAAACAATATTATAAGGAATTTTGAATAAAATCAATGAAATAAGTTACAAACATAAGTCCAGATATACAAAGAACACTTTTTATAGCCAGACAGTGTAATTACATGATTATTTTGCGTACTTCAGTATGGATTTGTTGACATGGTATTCCCGGTGTTTCATGCTCACGGTAATGTCTTTCCATGGGGGAAAAAAACATCCAAACTCATAATTCGTGTATAATGCGCACCCCCTTCCACACAGCTGTGTTTTTTGGAAAAAAAGTGCGCACTATACTCAAGAAAATACGGTATGTCAAATAGATACAAAGGTAAATTCATAGATTGCTGTAGACTGTCACTGTCAGTCTAGATACTGATCAAGTTGATACTACAATAGTTTGGACATTTGTACATTTCTTCATTTTGTTCACAAGGATGGGTCGTAGAGAGGATATTCATGAATGATCATGCAGTCAAACTTTCTCAATGTATGCTAAAATGATGAGTTCAAGAGTAAAGGGTCTAAATGATCAGAAACAACGCTTCTGTGGGTATTTGTGCAAGGGAATTCCCAGCGGTTCCCCCAGGAATGTGATAGTAGTAGTCCGTCGGTGTTTACTTCATTTCAAGAATACGGCCTCATTTCGTGGCCATGTGACCAATCTCTGGTCCAAATGGAAAGGCTGTATATCGTGTAAACTTCACATTAAATATTTCCTCTTGAACAAATTCAGGAGACATCATAGGTGGGTACAACCATGTTAAGTTTCCAATTCATTGGTTAAGTGGGTTTTTTAAGAACATATTTACAACACACAATGAATGATGGACAACACAGGCCATAGCATAGGCTCACTTATGAGCTAAACATACATGCTGGGGAGTTTTTAGAGGAAAGATGGTATACCGAGTCAATTGCCAACACAAAATGATGTTTTGATGTCATAAACATAAATCTTGACAGATGTATATTGATACGTCCCAACTTCCTCCTTCAGCAGCTTCATCAGTCTTGGGGCTCGGGATGAAACATGTCTTTTTCAATATGTCTGACAAGACAGACCAATCTATATATAAACATCAGTGATTGATATATTCTTGGTGAATTAACAATTAGTCTGGAGGAAGATTTATTTTCTCTGAATATAGACTATCAGACAGGTAGGCATTCCAGTGAAAGCTTTTGTACTTATCTCAGGTTCCGTTTTGAAACATGAACCCCAAAGAAATTGTTTCTTGTAGGATAGCAACATCTATTAGATCTTCCTGTAGTAACCCTAAATACAAGCTATAGTTGTGAAAATGATCTCCAGACACTTTATAGTACATCTAAACCACAATACCATTTCATAGAGTTGGGTACTGGGGCCTTTCCTACCTGGAATCTCTACAGGGTGATAGGTATGGGTACTGGGGACCTGTTCTGCCCTGGAATCTCCACAGGGAGACAAGCATGGGACCTGGTGACCTGTTCTGCCCTGGAATCTCCACAGGGAGACAAGCATGGGACCTGGTGACCTGTTCTGCCCTGGAATCTCCACAGGGAGACAAGCATGGGACCTGGTGACCTGTTCTGCCCTGGAATCTCCACAGGGAGACAAGCATGGGACCTGGTGACCTGTTCTGCCCTGGAATCTCCACAGGGAGACAAGCATGGGACCTGGTGACCTGTTCTGCCCTGGAATCTCCACAGGGAGACAAGCATGGGACCTGGTGACCTGTTCTGCCCTGGAATCTCCACAGGGAGACAAGCATGGGTCCTGGGGACCTGTTCAGCTATGGAGTGGCAGGCAATAGAAATGAGAGATCTCAATCTGTTCAAGGTGTGGAAGTATCAGGACTGGTGGCATCCTGGGAGGAACAAGTCAAGATGTACCTGCTGTATGTTCTATGAGGCCACAACATGGCAGATCAATGCTCACACTACTGCCTGCTGATCTGCTTGCACCATGTCAGATTACTCCCTGCAGGCAGGTAGGATATAACACAGATATTGCTTACTAAATGCAGGTTCATAAATTTTGTATCGCTTGTTTTCAACAGTTGATTGCTTGTCTTACACATGAATAACCTCCAAGGTCACCTGATTCTAAATTGGTGCCATATTAGCTTTACTTATTTATTTCGTGCAGCATGCATGGTTGGATGGGAAGAATGGTGGTGATGAAGGGATGTGGATGTGGTCTGCTTGCCCACTGCCATGGAACTATTCATGTTACCATATAACCACTTGCCCACTGCCATGGAACTATTCATGCTACCATACAACCACTTGCCAACTGCCATGGAACTATTCATGTTACCATACAACCACTTGCCAACTGCCATGGAACTATTCATGTTACCATACACCCACTTACCCACTGCCATGGAACTATTCATGTTACCATACACCCACTTGCCCACTGCCATGGAACTATTCATGTTACCATACAACCACTTGCCCACTGCCATGGAACTATTCATGTTACCATACAGCCACTTGCCCACTGCCATGGAATTATTCATGTTACCATACACCCACTTACCCACTGCCATGGAACTATTCATGTTACCATACACCCACTTGCCCACTGCCAAGGAACTATTCATGTTACCTTATAACCACTTACCCACTGCCATGGAACTATTCATGTTACCATACACCCACTTGCCCACTGCCATGAAACTATTCATGTTACCATACAACCACTTGCCCACTGCCATGAAACTATTCATGTTACCATACACCCACTTGCCCACTGCCATGGAACTATTCATGTTACCATATAACCACTTGCCCACTGCCATGGAACTATTCATGTTACCATACAACCACTTGCCCACTGCCATGGAACTATTCATGTTACCATACAACCACTTGCCTACTGCCATGGAACTATTCATGCTACCATACAACCACTTGCCAACTGCCATGGAACTATTCATGTTACCATACAACCACTTGCCAACTGCCATGGAACTATTCATGTTACCATACACCCACTTGCCCACTGCCATGGAACTATTCATGTTACCATACACCCACTTACCCACTGCCATGGAACTATTCATGTTACCATACACCCACTTGCCCACTGCCATGGAACTATTCATGTTACCTTATAACCACTTACCCACTGCCATGGAACTATTCATGTTACCATACAACCTCTTGCCCACTGCCATGGAACTATTCATGTTACCATACACCTACTTGCCCACTGCCAAGGAACTATTCATGTTACCATACAACCTCTTGCCCACTGCCATGGAACTATTCATGTTACCATACAGCCACTTGCCCACTGCAATGGAACTATTCATGTTACCATACACCCACTTGCCCACTGCCATGGAACTATTCATGTTACCATTCAACCTCTTGCCCACTGCAATGGAACTATTCATGTTAACCATACAACCTCTTGCCCACTGCAATAGAACTATTCATGTTACCATACAACCACTTGCCCACTGCCATGGAACTATTCATGTTACCATACAGCCACTTGCCCACTGCCATGGAACTATTCATGTTACCATACAGCCACTTGCCCACTGCCATGGAACTATTCATGTTACCATACAACCTCTTGCCCACTGCCATGGAACTATTCATGTTACCATACAACCACTTGCCCACTGCAATGGAGCCCTTTGCTACGCCTTCATGTATCATATTAGCTGTGGTATGCAACTCCTGCCTGCTTCTTGTTTCAGGCATTTCTCCCACATCAAACAGACCACAAAGACTTTGTGAAAATACCTACAGCATCATCAGCGAAAGCCTACACTCTGCACATATGGGCAACCGATGTACCTGATTACCCGACAGTAACGTGTACAGTTCTCTGGACAGTGTCTGACCTTCAGCATCTACCAGCCCATACTGAAGCAATGCTGTCTTGCAACTCATCTCCACAACATGAAAGCTGACAAGAAGGTGAGGGACTGTTTCCAAACATGCCAATCTCGCTGCAAGATGGCTGCCTCACTGATGTGTTCCTAACATACCTGTCTGTATTTCGGTAAAGGTCAGGGAATCCTGGAAGATCGGCTGCAGATTCTGGCAAGTGGTTTCCATATAAACACGGAGCCTTATTGTACCTGCCCTCTTCCTTCTGTTGTGGTTGGGTTTATTGTGGGGATCACGCCTCTCTTTGGGAATAAGTACCTGTTATAGTCTACTTAAATCTCCAGGAAATGGGAGCACCCAGTGACTGGTTTATTTCAAAATTTGTGTGTATTTCTGCACGAAAACTTATACAATATTTCAATTCTATGTTTTAACTGATTATCATTCAACAGCAATTTATCATATTGTCTACTCATGTGCTTAGGACAGACTATATTCAATTCATGTGTCTTGTTTATAAGAATTCTTTAAAACAAAGACACATTATTTACATTTCCATACATTCTGATTCTATTATTCACTAAAAGTCAAACTAGATGGATATAGTGACTGAGTGAGTACATTGTTTCGCTGCTTTCAGAAATATTTCAGTCACATCATGTCAATACACAACAAGAATTTGTTCTTTGTGTATTGTACTCATACCGAGCTTCAAACCTGGTGCTTGGCATGACAGGCTTGTGCTTTACCCACTAGACTACCAACCATTACAGGACATGAGGGACACAGGTGGCCCAGCCATCAAAGGCAGCCCAAATTCACTGTGTAGAGTTGCCTCCCTTAGGCATGCCAGAATCCTATGATCATGGGTGTGAATCTGAGATTCTCCTTGATTAAGTTACTAGGTTTGTCAGCACCATACCTGTGGTTGTGGATTCACCAAAGTGGTAGACATCCATATCTGTATCACTTTGGACTTTACATTAAGCCAGCATGCCATGATACAAGTGAATCCTGTTCCAAACGGCCTTAAACTCACTCAGTTACAGGACATAGTAATGCAGCACAGGGTCTGTGTGATGAGTTGTGTAGGAAGCCTTAAGACAGACCTACTATGACACATTGAGAACACTGAGGCTTATGTCTGCTGTAAGTAAGTAGGCGTATCACTGTTCTGTTTAGAAAGAAGAGAGAATCTGGGTGACCTCAACGTTTCACAGGCTGGAGAGTACAGGAATTATTCCCTCAACATGAAAGGGATCCACATAAAGGTGCCAAAATAGATGCCTCTGTTCTCGGAGCTAGATCTACTTGAACACTGCACCCTATGGGAGAAGTCACATGGTGTTTGTGGGAGCATGGTTGCAACTGGTCATTGGCACAGATGGAAGAGGAATATATAACATCATGACTCTGTAGTTCAATAGCAAGCATGAAGGTCAAGGTTACATTTCCCCCAGTGAGTGAGTGTGAGTGTGAGTGTGAGTGTGTGTGTGAGTGTGTGCGTGCGTGCGTGCATGTGTGTTAAGGGTGTGCGGTATTACCAGTACACCGGTATATTGTGGTGCAAATCTTCAGCAATACGTATTGCGATACGTTTGAAAATGAAGCAATATATTGGAGCAAATATAAATAAGTATATTATAAGTATGTATATTATAAGTATGTTCCTAATCGATATGGAGATTGAAAATAGTATCTTTCTGACACAACTTGCCTCTGACGATCTGGCATCTACACATCGCGACTATAAAGCTCCTCACAGCAATAGCCCATTCGAGGAGCTCTGTATATAGACAGTATAACGAAGGTGTCACGCGCTGGGAAGGAGCTTGATGGTATCTGACATTAATACAGGGTATAACTCTGATTAACTCATGAAAATATAAATTGGCAATATATTGCAATACGTATCGCAATACAAAGTATGGCAATTTATTGGGGTGCTGGGGTGCGGGGGTGCGGGGTTATGGATATCACTTACATACTACAGTGTCCCTCGCTATTGTGCCCTTCAATATAGCACTAACTTGGTTATAGTGACCGGCAACCCATAGCTCCCAAAATTTATTGACATTTTAATAAACTCGAGTTGTGCACGAACACAATGTTTTTTCCCCAGCACACAATAACAGCTGCTCACTGTGAGCACGCAACACCGGAAAGACCAATCAACAAATCCGAACTGAAGTCTGCAATGTATTCCTATTATTACACTATCTGGTAATAGAAACGTGTTTGCTGTATATCTGGACTTAAGTTTGTGACATATTTTATTAACTTTTATATAAGGACATGGCTCCATTATGACAGGCTCGGCCATCATGCATGATAGCGGAGCTTCAAATTAAGACAAGAGATATTATTGGATGAAATGGTCGCGGATGTGGAGGTACTGGTGGACATCTGGACTTAAGTTTGTGACATATTTTATTAACTTTTAAAAAAATAATCAATATTGTTCACATTAATTTCGGCAAAAAAGTGTGTTAAGTGATTGGTAGATTACACAACTCACTGTTATATTACAGCAACCATGGTGAGATTACTGCCATTGATGCTGTGAAACAAACTTTAGTTGACAGAGAATAAATACATATATACTAAATGCCATACTTTGACTTGTTAAAAGTCATATTTGTTGTAGTTTGACTGTTACCGGTATATGTCAAAAACTTTTTCACGATCATGAGTGCTCAAGCCTGGATGGTGGCTGGTCAAATGTTTCATACATAACAAATAGCCAGCAATAGCGATCTGTTCTATGTTTATGCTCATTATTATTCTTACTATATATAGTAAAGCTGCAACTAAAATAACACAATATTGCATCATGTTGGATAAAATAATAGTTTATGATACACTTCTTCTGATCATTGCATCAAAATTCTTTAAAATTATATTAATGGGTAACTTTTAACCAAATCACCAGTGGATTGGGAGAAAACGTGTATACAGCTGATTGCTGTTTCCAGGTTAGTTTTCGAAATAATACACACAGTAATCCTAATCTCTGCACATAAAACAATACGACTACACCCCTACGACTTCACCTCGGCTAAACCGCTGATCGTATCATTTGGGGTTCAGTTATTTAGACCCCAAATGTAGCGTTGTAGCAAGGGACTACTGTATATACCACGTATTAAGTCAGCTCTTAATAATTATGTGTGGGTATTGAATACTGTCAAGAATCCCCACCCCCACACCTCAGGCTCCAAGATTTATGTAGGTTATAAACATGAAGGGCCATCACATCAGTTTCTAGTCATTATAATCATTGCTAAGGGGTCCCAGCTCTGTGTGCACATTCAGGTTCAAGATTGAAGTATGTACCATGTGATGACTATTCTTTTATACACACTGCAAAGACATGCCAAGGACTGTGTACATTTTATTTTGGAGACATGATTCCTGGAGAATATCACATCTCCTGTTCAATACATTCCTTGAATAAACTATACCGGCAGATTCAATTCTAAAAAGATAAAAAAATCAAAGGGTACTTTGAAGTCAGTAAACTCAGTCAGTAATCTCAAATTCTTCGATTTTCAAACATTTATGTCTAGCACTAGAGGCTGCCATGATCCAAGAGTAATCTGCACTTACAAAAATGTCCAAAAAAGCCAACGCAACTCTTCCAGCATGCCAACACTGCAGGATACATCTAACATACCTCTGCTTTATGTTACCACATACCTCTCTCATATCTTCCCTTTGATACAGTAACACACGTTTTTGAGAAAAAATGCTCTTTTATGAAATACCATATATATAGTAATATAAGCACAAATACTTTCAAACTACTGAAAGAAGGAATGAATTTTTGAAAACATGCCAGGATACCGAGTTAACACAATTTTATATGGGACTCTTTTCTGTCACAAGTCTTCCTCGTTCCTTGTTTCATTGGTGAAGAGTGGCACGACATGTGGAAATCCTCCACTTGAGAGTCTCCTGATCCAGGAAGATATTTGCAGACGTACGCCAATTGAAAATGTGCCGAAGAATAAATTGTTGATGTCAAATTTGAAGATGAAATGCCCCGCTACAGCCTATCAGTCACACTTCTGAAGCACTTTCCATTGGTTAAACACAAGCATGGTAAACATGCCTGGTGTGGTGTGCTTTATGACTGTACACTGTGCACATCAATGGTTTGTTTGGAGAAAATATCAGGATCAGATCCTTAGAACAATCTAAAAGACGATCACAATAAGTAGCATTATCAGTTCACTTGCTGGGAAAATTACAACATGTGAAGAAAACTACAGCTAGATTTGATATAAAAGCTGTAAATATTGATGTGAAATTGTTTAGTAGCAGAGTAGGTGCCAGACTGCTATTGGGAGCATTAGAGGATGCAGTTTAGACTAACATCTAATCTCTGAAATAAACATATTTTTTACAGAAAAAACAGTTGTTAAATTATGGTTATAAAATATAATAAAAAGGAGCCCAGAGACTTTCTTCATTTTCAGATACTGCAGTAATCTAGACTTGCCAAACATTATAGTCTTGCATGGGTTGTATTGGATACATTTGCTTCAGGGTCTGTATGACAAGACTAGATGCAGTTGAAAGGTTCATTAGTATTGGGCAAACAAGATGTGTCCTTGAATGAGATCTCATTACATCTGTGTATGTTCTATGTCCTTGAATGAGATCTCATTATATCTGTGTATGTTCTATGTCCTTGAATGAGATCTCATTACATCTGTGTATGTTCTATGTCCTTGAATGAGATCTCATGACATCTGTGTACGTTCTATGTCCTTGAATGAGATCTTATTACATCTGTGTAGGTTCTATGTCCTTAAATGAGATCTCATTACATCTGTGTATGTTCTATGTCCTTGAATGAGATCTCATTACATCTGTGTATGTTCTATGTCCTTGAATGAGATCTTATTACATCTGTGTAGGTTCTATGTCCTTGAATGAGATCTCATTACATCTGTGTATGTTCTATGTCCTTTAATGAGATCTCATTACATCTGTGTATGTTCTATGTCATTGAATGAGATCTCATTACATCTGTGTATGTTCTATGTCATTGAATGAGATCTCATTACATCTGTGTATGTTCTATGTCCTTGAATGAGATCTCATTACATCTGTGTATGTTCTATGTCCTTGAATGGGATCTTATTACATCTGTGTAGGTTCTATGTCCTTAAATGAGATCTCATTACATCTGTGTAGGTTCTATGTCCTTGAATGAGATTTGTGAAATTACATCTGTGTAGGTTCTATGTCCTTGAATGAGATTTGTGAAATTACATCCGTGTATGTTCTATGTCCTTGAATGAGATCATATTACTTCTTTGTATGTTCTATGTCTTTGAATGAGATCTTATTACATCTGTGTATGTTCTATGTCCTTGAATGGGATCTCATTACATCTGTGTAGGTTCTATGTCCTTGAATGAGATCTCATTACATCTGTGTATGTTCTATGTCCTTGAATGAGATCTCATTACATCTGTGTATGTTCTATGTCCTTGAATAAGATCTCATTACATCTGTGTATGTTCTATGTCCTTGAATGAGATCTTATTACATCTGTGTAGGTTCTATGTCCTTAAATGAGATCTCATTACATCTGTGGAGGTTCTATGTCCTTGAATGAGATCTTATTACATCTGTGGAGGTTCTATGTCCTTGAATGAGATCTCATTACATCTGTGTAGGTTCTATGTCCTTGAATGAGATTTGTGAAATTACGTCTGTGTATGTTCTATGTCCTTGAATGAGATCTCATTACATCTGTGTATGTTCTATGTCCTTGAATGAGATCTCATTACATCTGTGTATGTTCTATGTCCTTGAATGAGATCTCATTACATCTGTGTATGTTCTATGTCCTTGAATGAGATCTTATTACATCTGTGTAGGTTCTATGTCCTTAAATGAGATCTCATTACATCTGTGTATGTTCTGTCCTTGAATGAGATCTCATTACATCTGTGGAGGTTCTATGTCCTTGAATGAGATCTCATTACATCTGTGTAGGTTCTATGTCCTTGAATGAGATTTGTGAAATTACATCTGTGTAGGTTCTATGTCCTTGAATGAGATTTGTGAAATTACATCTGTGTAGGTTCTATGTCCTTGAATGAGATTTGTGAAATTACATCTGTGTATGTTCTATGTCCTTGAATGAGATTTGTGAAATTACATCTGTGTATGTTCTATGTCCTTGAATGAGATCTTATTACATCTGTGTATGTCCTATGTCTTTGAATGAGATCTTATTACATCTGTGTAGGTTCTATGTCCTTGAATGAGATTTGTGAAATTACGTCTGTGTATGTTCTATGTCCTTGAATGAGATCTTATTACATTTATTTATGTTCAATGTCCTTGAATAAAATCTTATTACATATGTGTATGTTCTATGTCCTTGAATGAGATTTGTGAAATTACATCTGTGTAGTATTAATAAACTACATGTCACTATTCTTTATTTAATTATTAAGCAAAGCAAACTCCCAACAGTTTTGATGTAGCTATTGGTGAAAAATGCAACTGGAAATATTGATGTGCCAACTGCTGTTTGTTGACACAGCTTTCATTATTGAAAGAAGAGAGTGGGGCCTAATTTCTATTTTTCAACATCTCTCTTGAGGAAATGATTTGCATTAATTTCTCCAAATTAGTACAAAGTTGGCAATCCACCTTTGGGATCTCCGTTGTAAAACTGGCTGTAATTACCATGTAAAGACAATTCTGATTAAGGGGGCAGTTCAAAAGTTTTATGTCATAAAATTGTGTAAGTGTGTGATATCTGAATTTTGAAAATGAACATTGAGGCTATAACAAGATGAAATAATAGAAAAAATTAATAGACTTTGAATACCTTCTTTGATGTGTTAGTGTTGCTCCCAAATTTGTTATGCTATATTTTGACAATATTTGTGCAATAACACCA